TGTAATCCTGAAGACAAAACGGATATAGTCAGCATGGGTTGAAAAAGCTCACCGCGGTCACAAAAACTTCGGTTTCTGGAATTTTGAGAAAATATAATTTTGATGAGTTCTTTGATTGCAGAATGATAGCTCACAAGGAAATAGATGGTGAACTCTGTATTGTAGCGAGATGCAATGAACATATTTCAAGGAAACTCAATCGATGGCCCATTAATCAAATCCATTCTCATCAAGCAGCTTCTAGCCAAAAAACAAATCACAGTTTTTATTTAGCTAATCCCTCTTATTTACCAGATTTGACACACGAAGACTTCTTTTTTCCTTAAATTGAAGTCTTTTCTCGTAGGTTCGTATACTGACAACACTAAATGATTTAGGAAACTTTAACCACATACTTAAACAATATTTCAAAATATGAATTGTACGAAGCAATTAAGCAGCTATACGAATGTGCCAAGAGTTGTATATAGTTGCAAGGTTTATATGTTGAATGCCGGTAATTATCAAAATTAGCAAAGCACGAAGCAATAACAAACGTTTTCGAAAAGCGCTTTTCTGCCAGCACTATTTTGAATGAGGGAACTGTTGCATTTTAAGTTGTCAGCGATCTGTTTTTCTTATTATAGTCGCAACTCTGTATGATACCTGGAAAACTAAACTGCGATGGCAGCTGTGCGTGGCATAGCTCTTCGATGTCAACTAGTCAGGAAAAAAGTCCCGCTTATGAAGGATCAGGGGAAGTTTTTATTATGATTATGTCTGTCAATTTGAGCGGTAATAGATTTCTGTTTGCGTTCAAGTTTCCCAGGTGAAGATGTCAACCCAGGAAATATTTCTTTCAATGAGCAGTTTAGGTAGCTTAGTAGGTCTGATAACGGTTTTAGAAGTAAGAATATCATTTTTGTCAACTTTCGATTTTATATGAATTTAGTCCTAAGGCATTTTAGTGGCACTGGTTAGAAATCCTGTACTGTCTACTTTTTGACTACACTAATTCATAGGCATTAGCACGGAAATGCAAGCCCATACCTGTTTATTTATCAAATAAAGTGAATGACAACGGTCGCTAAGGCACTGCCTTTCTTAATAGTTCTCTGTTTATTTTGGATCAAAATATGAAATTAATTTGTAATCTTCTACCAATCCTAGTTTCTTCAAAGATTCCACACACACACACTCATTTGCGATTACAATGCAATATTACACAGAGTTTTCTTTCAACTCTCATTAAGACACTTTTATACAATTTTTCCAAATCGTCTACGGAATTTTTAGCCTTATTCTTGAATTTTGGCGCCTTTTCTTAATTTCTGACGAAGTTTAATGTGCAGAAATGCCTTCGTATTATCTTGTAAATGATACTGTGCCCATGGTTTTTAAATGTTGTGAAAAGAACTAGTATTTCTGAAAAGATAATAACAAAAGTAACTGCCATATTACGATTCGTGTCATACTACAAGTTCGTGGGTTTGGAGTAATTGATGATAACACTTGAAGAATCAAAAGTCATTTTATTCGCCAGTAAGCACTGTTACACAGGACTGATCCAAAAACACTAATCACTCACTGAAAAACTACGACAGACACGCTGAAACAATCAGCAACGCAGCCTTCAGGTTATAACGGTGAAGACAGTTTCACGGCAAAGTACTGCTCTCAGGCTAATCTCTGAACTCAAGACACTACTAATCTCTCTGTACAGGCAGGGTTATATAGCTTTAACCAACCTTCGAGATTGTTCCCGAGAAAACCGGTAAGAATGCGTTCTAGAATGTTCTCGCTCCGTCTATATCATAGCTCCAATTTTGTCACCAAATATGGCAACCTTGCCCTTTCCTGCTACTTACTGGCTGCCCTAACCTCGCTTTGCAGGGAAGCTATCTCACAGCAGTTGGGCATTTTGCAATAATATTTTGAAAAAGCGTGCAGAGGAATCCAAAACTGTGCGTAATCGGGGGTGGTCGGAGTGGTAATTTAGATAAGAGCAAACGCCGCGAGATCTCAGGGAAAGGCAGCCTTCGTGGAGGACATTTCAATGGACATTAGCCGGGATCTGAAATCCAGTCGAACTATCAATGTTCAACACATTTACCGTTTGGCCGTTGGTTTCTGTCAAATTTGGAATTGTCAATGATTCTGACACTTTTTTACGAGACTATAGCTCGTACGTCTATTGTACTCTGTAGCTTTGTCGCAGCTGTTTAGAAGCTGTATAAGGATTTTAAGTTTTACTAACGTTTATTTTACTTTTAAAACTTTACTGTCCGCTCTTGTTTTCCACTTGCGGCCAGAATAAACGAGGTTAGTTTTAGCATTTAAATTGTGCTTGCAAACTCTTGAGTATTTAAATTGTGGCTTTTAGCCATGAAGAGAGAGATATATATTTCTCGCCACCTTATTTCGTTTTCCCGCATTCTGCGTACTACATACGTAAAGATCTAAAAGACCAATCTTAGTGTTACTAGTCTTTGTAAGGTATTTGAGTTTACCTCTTATTTAAATTTAGTTAGTTTATAGTTCTTATTTTTTTATGTTCAGACCACAAGTACTGGTCTTTGTATCCCGAAGTGCGGGAGCAGCTGTAAACTCTGAAGAATAAAGGGTAATAAAACCCTTCCCATCTTTGTCATATCTTCTACAATTTCATCGGACATAGTTTAAAGTAAACTGACTGTTCTACTCAGGACACCCACATGTTCGCCAAGCAGATTAGAAGAAATATTAGTCCTAATGGCTGTAAATGCTAATTCGGACAAATTTTAGAAACTAAGCAAAATTACACATAAGCACGTAAGGATGAATTTAAATGAAATGCAAAGAAAGAAAATCCTTTACACGCGGGAAACAATTTACATCTCCAGTTTCTAGATAGTATCTTCAAGGTCTCAGCAATCCTTTCCGCGTAACGTGTGCCGTCATTACCGCGCAGACGGAATTAAAGGATTTTAGCATAGAGGATTTCACCCTTTTTCTACAATGGTTAAAATCATCGTTTAGGAAGAAAATAGTATTGAAATGCCTGTTACAAAGTAACAAATTATAGAACAGGAAGGAAGAAGGCTTCAATAATGAGAATTTTCCAAGAATATATAAAAGAATGGAGCTCATTTCAAACTGAAGTTATTACTAAGTAGTCGTTTTGAAAATGATTGAGAGGACTAAATTAACATATATTTATTCGGTGTTTAAAAATTCTGTAAAAAGGGGATTTAACTTCTTATCCAAAGTAAACATTCAAGTTAATAAAACCTTCATTTTGCTTTTATTAGCCGAAACCCCAACATTCCATATATTTAAGATCAAAGTTTGCTGAAATATGTTTATTAAACATTTCAAGGTAGACGCTACAATTTTATTTGATTTTGTATCTCTTTCATTCATCTTAAAATATCTAGGATAATGTTGCTGATAGTCATGAAAAATGCATTAAGTCAATACGTTTCTTGAATATTTCTGCAAACTTTGAGCCTAAATGTAAGGAAGTTTTTTTTTTGTTTTGCTTTGTTTTAGCTCGTCAAACAATACCGAAGATAAATAATTGGAAAGTTTACTCTAGACTGAGCACAGAAAATGCTAGATGATAATTAGAAGATTTTTCTCCCCAACAGTTTTGAGACGATTTCATAAAAACGCGCAAGTTATTTGAATTTACTTTTTAAGAAATATATGTTTAAGATCGATGTAAGGTTCGAAAGCTCATAGTCATATTCCGCAAATGCTGTAAATATGAATTTCCTCTTTCTAAGAATTTTGAACTATATCTTGTCTAGTTTGTAAAGAAATTAAATTAAAATTACGGTAAAAGGAAGAAAAGAGAGCTTGAAATAGTAAGGAATGAAAGATGAGAAGAAAGAAAAAGGAAAGAATCGTTAGCTTAGGACTAAACTATAAAAGATAAAATTATATTTAAAGCAGTACTTACTGCAAATGATAAGGAAAGAGGGAAAATTTCTTATCTGAAATATTTCAAAAGAATAATCAGAATCTACCTTAAATATTAAATTATTCTCCTGACTTTTTATTTCAAAGCATCCGAATAAAAATTAATAGCGCCATAAAATAAAGTAATATATTCTCCACATACGTATGCAGGGAAAATGTAATGAAAATATATAATATTGAAATATCACTTTAATATGTGCTGTTTACTAAACAAACTATATATAATAAATCTGTATTATATTTGATAAAGTTGCATATTAAATGTATTATATATGTAGACCACATTCTTATAAAAAGGAAAAATTTGCAATATGTTTATTCATCAACGAATGAAGAAAAGGAACGTAAAATTATTGAAAAGCATAGAATTTTATTGTTGAATGTAATGTCGTTAAAACTCAATCCATTTCTACCAAAGCGTTGTTGTTATGGCTTCCATTAGAAGTTTGTAATGCTACACAAGTTAGAGTGTTAGAGGAAGTTAGAGTGTTAGGTCGAAAGAAGAAGGGTAGAGCCGACAGGAACGACATAAAGATATCTCATTCCCGTGGTTAATGCATCATTCCGAAGCTTTTAAGAAATCAAAATTAAAACGTGATTAAGTTTAAATTATTAGATAAGTCTAGCCTTCAGAAGAGAAAGTTAATTTTTTTACCTAATAATGAAATGCTATGGAAGACATTCTTCTTTTATATCTATTTTGGTACTCTTTTGTTTACGGACTGGAATAAAAAGTTTTATTAACACTAACCAAAAAAAAGTTTGCAAAACTACAACACGTGTTAAACTACCGAAGGGGCTGACAATTGGAAGCATCTTAAAGACTGAGTGCATCCACGCCATGTATTGTTCTTTCTATTCAACTTTTCTAATAGATGATTTAAAAATCTGCTAACAATGCATTTTAAAATTTTTAAGGAACTAGACTTCGTATAAATTTCAATAAATACTCTATTGAATAAATATATTACTTTTGGATATGTCCAAACTATGCCCGTCTTTATGCATTTTCTCTGAACGCGAATGAATATTCATTTATAAATGCGTTGCCTTTTCAGATGTTCCTGAAATTCGCTTGGAGGGTCAACCCGTGAAAGATATCGAAGAAGGGGAGACAGTCTCCGTCAAATGTGTCGCTGATGCCAATCCTCAAGCGAATGTCATTTGGAAAAAGTCTGGATATTCTAGCATATACGCTTTGAAAGACCAGATAGAGTTCATGCCAGTGAAGAGATCCGACTCTGGTATATACAGCTGTTCTGCTTCCAACGACGTTGGACAAAGTCATGAACTGGAAGTCAACATTGATGTCAAATGTAAGTACATTTTTCAAGTTTCTGCATTATTTTCAGACATACCTAGAGGTATTTCGAGTTTACCACCATTTCAATCCCATTCGCTGTAAAGCAAATATCAAAATAAAATGAATCGGGAAATCATTTAGCGCACAGTAAAGATTATGTTCACAGTATACATATTGTACTCTCTAAATTAACAATCATGCTGTCTTTCTTTCTAATCATTAATACTGTTGCGTGCATACGGGTTCGTAATGGATGGAATGCACGCAGAACCGATGGTAGCTTGATCGAATGATTTTTCCCAAAGCAAACAACTTACAGCTTTAGTACTCGTCCAGCTCTGTTTACTATAACAGAGCACAGTCAGTAGTTACCATTTCAAACTACTAAGAACGTTAAACACAACGTAATGCAAAGCGCATCTAAAGAGCTAAGCTTGCAATCTCTCATTACTCCTAAATCTACTCTGAGCTAAAAAAACTGAGAATTAATGCCTTCTCCCGTTTTATAAGTCTTCCTCGGCCGCTAAGAAATCTCTTAATACCTTGCTTATCTCGAAATTACTGGAAGGCATATACAAACAAGCAAGCATATAGGTGCCGGATAAGCGTACAGTTAACCATAATGATCAATTACAGTTATTCAATTACAAAACCAATTACAGTAATATAGGGACCAGATCAAATTATAACCAAATGTCGCGACATTTGGCGATTTCTTGCCAAATTTGGTGACAAAAATTAGTCACGTAAACCATCGCCAACCAGCTTGGCGAGGTAACCTTTTACCACAATCGCTCTGTAGTCTTTTACTAATAGGCAGAGTTTCACTTTTCTTGAAGCCTTTCATGTTGCGTTATACAAAATTTGTAACAATGCATTACCTGAATGCTTTCACAACTCGTTTATTGTTTGACGCAACATATGTAGTTTTACGGCCTGTCTCAGAATTCCAGTTATTGTTATTTATAATATTAGCTACTTGAGTGTCAGCCGTATAAAAATTGTTATTATAAAAATTTAAAAAAATAATAACGATTTAATGAGTATTTCATGGGTCCAGCTAGTAATTAATAGCACACAGAGACGATAATTGCGTTTATTGCTTTGAAGTCGCTTAGTTTGTTAACCAGTAACATATATGTTAAATTAAAAAGAAAAATCTTAAACAAGATCTAAAAAGAATCTAAAAAGAAAAAAAAGAAAAAATCTTAATCTAAAAAAAAAAAAAAAAAAAATCTTAAACAGTTTGCGCTTTGCCTAATGGCAACGCAGTGGCGCATGGAAGCTAAAAATATTTTATTTTGGACAATGGTCGCACATTTCTTTTAAATTTCTGTGTTTGTTGATGAAATTGGAAAGACAAATATTTTCCAAGTAGTTGCACATTTCTTTTGAATTGCCGAGTTTTCTGATTAAATTATTAAACATAAATATCTTTTTCTGCCGTGTAGCTATATATTGCTTTCAAATCACTGAGATTATTGATCAGAATTTCGTCAAGTTTGTACAAAACATAAAATAAATATAAAGATCTGAATATGAAAATTTAGGTTTATTTTACACCCTGTACTTGATTCGCACACCCTATACGAAAACTACTGCAGAATATTTACACAGTTGTGTTTGTAACAATATATGCGTTGTATTTATATAAGTGTATGTATGTGTTTGTGTTCAAGGGAAATTTGTATTTAAATATTTATGGAATTGGTGCATTTGTTAAATCCTGAGAATTCCTTATGAAATTAGTGTTACACTTAATATAATGTCACCCTAACACAAGAGCATTATATATATACAAATATATCTAGTTTCAAATTTCAGGCTTGTGTTCATGCATAATGTTCATTCAAAATTCAGGCTTTAAGAGGCCCATGTTCGAGTAGAAGGCTGTGTTTCAAAGTTTGGGGGGCTGTAGATGTCGCCGTTTTTCCACAGAGCGAGGAATATATATGCATACATTCATATAGACATACATATATACAGATTCTTAACTATTTAATAATAGAAATTCATAACTTTTAGCTTTTTATTTTAAATAAAAGTAATTTGGTTTAAATTTAAAGCTTTCTGATGAGATTTTTCTCAGAAGTTTCGGTGCAATTTTGATATATTTGAGGGAATTAGCATTCTGTGTATTAGATACTTAAAATGTTTTGTAATATTGTAATATTATGAAAACAATTCTCAGGGAAGCTCTTTTCATGTAATCAAAATTTAAAAAATAGATGAATCATTCTTCACTATTCAAATATTAAATGCTCCGAATACTTTCAGGCTGAATGTTCAAATACTGAACATTCTGAACAATTAGATATGGTTACTGATCATTTACTATTGAACATTCTGAACATTTAAATGCTGTTCATTAAACATTCTGAGACTGGAAATTAAAGTACGGAATGTATTGAATATTTTCATACTCTCTTATTAAATACTTTAAGACAGAACATTTAAATATTATTTATAAATCTTTCAATTCTAAACATTTCAGTAGTAATCGCACTAAGCATTTAAATATTAGTTATTGAATATTTTAAAGCTGAACCTTTATGTACTGTGCATTTAAATAGCATTTATTGATTGTCTAAATTCTAACTGAATATTTAAGTACATAGTGAATAGTAATAATACAGATCACACTAAATATTTAAATATTATCAATTAAACATTTTAAGGCTGATCATTTAAGTACTGAACGCACTTTTTAAAAATATTATTCACTGAATGCTTAAATATTGCAAACTTAAATATCATTCGCTGATATATGAAGATTGAATTTAAGTACTGAACACTTAAATATTTCACTAAACGTAAAACTGTCAAAACTACTCAACATTTCAATATTAGTTTCTGAAGGTTTTAAAGCCCTAATTAAGTATAACTGTAATATAATAATGCATTAAAACTTTATATATTGTAAGATTTGGGAAAGCATAATATGACAAGCAAAACTGAGCGAAAAAACAGATATTTCTTCGTACATTCACTCGTGAGAATTACCACATTATAACCCAGAAACAGTAGCAAAAGAAAACAAATCGGATTTTTTGTTAATGAACTACTTAGTGTGTGTAAAATTTAAAGAAACTTTAAAAGAACGTGCATTTTATCCCAGCAAAAATGGCAGAAAGATATGATTAATTTGCGAAAAATGAAAAGAAAATATATATATGGAACATCAATACGCTATCTGTGAAAACTGTGTAAACTAAATGTAAGTAACATTTATAATTATGAAATAAAGTCATTTCTTTATTCTTGATTTTATTTCTAACGTAACCTTTTACTTATGATAATTAAATTAAGATAAAATGGTACTGTGTGTGAGACATTCAGCGGAAGTTCCCATATTCGTATTTACTATGCGAGTACCGCTGAGATAGCCACTCGTAGGATAATTACAAACTCTCAAACAACTCATTCAAACTTGAATGTTTTTGTCATTCAAGTTCGATCTATAAAAAAGATGCAATCTATCTGCGAGACACAATAAAATGATATGTACTTGTTGGTGGTTGATTTTTCGATTTAACTATGGTTCGGGCTTTAATTTGCTAGCTAGTGCTATAAATTCCTTTATAAATGATGCACAGTTTAAAATTTATGTAATATTATGGTATGACAATCTGAAGCTGCTTGTTATAGCAATGCACTAAAGTCATAGCAATACAAGTATTTTTTTCTGAATTTGCTTAGAAACTTTTATTTTGAAAGAAAATACACACAAAAATTCGCAAGCATAAAAAACTTTTATAGGCATAGTTTTACAGTATAGTCAGAAGGATCAGTTTCAGATCGTTGTAAAGAACAATTTTGAGTTTGTTTTCGAATTCTTTTCCGAAATTCCGAGGTCAGAATAAGATCCTAACTTTTGAACATATAGTATATTACCTCTATCCTGTATTCGATTTGTATAGGAGAGATAAAACCTGCGAGCAATGGCAAAAATATCTTTTTTCCCCTGTATTTAGCATTAGGTGCATGGTCGCAATAAATTTTGTTTTATTATATTTATTCAAGTACTTCATGAAATGCACTGATATTTCATATTGTATTTGTTAGGAAAACAATGCGGGAATCTAATGAAATAATATGACGGGTGTATGGTGAAAAAGCTGTAGTTCATTCAGTAATGTGCCCATTGTTTATTTCCTGAAACCTATATTTACAGTTGGAGGTAACGTTCTCGGTCCAAAAATCTGATGGTGTGCTTTCAATGAATAAGCATGAATTAAGGTCTCAACATCAGGGTTTGACTATTTTTACAATGATATCTATCTATCTATGGGTCTATATGTGTGTGACGATTTTTTGTCCTCAAAAACTCTTGTATCAAACTTCCAAAAATTTCTGTTTTCTCTACATAAGCTTTCTGCACTTATATATAGAATTGATTAGGTATTAGGTAAAATTTAGCAACCGGTGGTACTTTACTTTAAGTCCATAACCGTTTTCAGTAAACAGCTGGAAGTGATACTTCACTTGAAGTCCGTAACAGGTTCTAATAAAACCCTATACTAAAATATAAACCAAAATTTTTCAATTTTAATATTTAAGACTTCTGTGTCAATGAAAACAACATTAGATTTTGGTTAAAACTGATAACCTAGAATTAAAACTTTACTTGAAGTTCTGAATAGATTTCCATGGAAAGTTACATTATGATTTAATGCAAAACTTCCCAAATTTGGTATTTAAAATTATATATAATTAAAAGCCACATATTAAATTTTGATTTTATGTGATAAATTGAAAGTGGTTCTTTATTTGGAAGTCATAGCAGATTTTTATGGACAAATATAGAATCAGTATAATAAGAGTTTGGCAGACAAATTTGTCAAATTGTGTTGTTCGGTGATTGGTGTTGTTATATTCAGACTTCGAGCCGAGGCAACCAATCACATTAAAAAATATAACCTTTTTCAACTATCACAATGCCAGTCTGTAAAGGTTATAGATTCAACAATCTTTCTTCTGACAAAGCAAAAAAGAAAATCAGGGAAAACTAAA